CCATGTCCCTCTTACTCCTCCTTGGGCAAGAGGCTCATCTTGGAGCTGGACCCAGCTCTTTGCTCTGTGGGGAGGCCCACCCTGGCAGCCAGACTGAGAAACCACACGGTGTCTCATTTGTTTCCTGTAAAGCGCGCACCATTGAGGATGGACCGCTTATCTCCAGAAGTCTCCTTGGAGAATCAATACTGTTTGGCTTGCTTAATGGGAAAATCTATGCTCGTCATTAGGAAACCTTGTTAGCAGTCCTGGCGCCGCCCGTGGCATCACTCTTCTCATTGTCAGGGCTTGGGATTTAGGGTGTGGGGGGCAAGTTTCATAAAACATCTGCCCCCACATCTGAGTATCCCTGACAACCTGGGGCTGGGCTGTCTCAGCGAGGCGGTGGGGAAAGGAGGGATGGAGGAGGCTAAGGGAACCTGGGGTGGTGCTAGGAGACATGGGCAGCTCCTTCTCCCTCTTTTCCTCCTTTCCTGGCCCCTCTGGTTCCTGGAAACTTGTGTGAGGTCAAATGAAGGGGATCCGCAGGGCTGACAGCAAGACCCTGCTCTTGCCACCTGAGCCTCCCACCTTTGACCCTGCCAGCCCGGGGTAGTCAGTATGGCTCCACCCGGCCTTCTGAGAGTCCTGCTCCCCATTCAGAAGCCGCCCCTGCCTCCACTCTGACCCTCCTCCTCTCTAGGCTGTCCTGTGTCCTGGCTCTGGGTTTTGGTGTCTCAACCTCTGCCTCTCTCTGTCTCTGTCTCTGTCCCTGTCCCTGCCTGTCTCTCTCCTCCCTGCTGTGCTACTGGTTCCAGTTGACATTAAGGTCATCAAAGACCTACCTTGGCCTCCGCCGGTGGGACAGCTGGACAGCAGCCCCTCCCTGCCCGACGGGGACAGGGACGTCTCCGGTCCAGCCTCACCCCTCCCCGAGCCCAGCCTGGAGGATGGCAGCGGTGGGTCCTGTCGGGGCTTCTGGCCAGGGTGACGTGTCCTCTCATCCCTCGGGCCCTGGGGGCATGGGTTGGAGGAGCCAAGAGGTGGGGCATGGTTTGAAGGACCCAGGAGCAACCCCTCTCTTCTGAGGAAGAAGGAAGGGAGAAAGTACACATCTCTGCTCCCTCCCCAAACGTGGGGAAGGTGTCTCCTAAGGGAAATCGCACGGAAACCCACTCTTCTAAATCCACTGCTTTGGGTCGTGCTTTGCCTGACCCGACTGCAGCAATGCAAACAACTCCTGAGATGGGGAGACTAGCTCGCACAGCAGGTGTCTAGCTCCTCAGATAAAGGAAAGGGTCTGCTCCTTGCAGTTGGTGTCTGAAAGATAATAAGGGCTTGAAAGTGCTACAAGGAGAGAAAAATAGTCCAAGTGGGGAGAAAGAAGGCACTGAACACCTCATCTACGTTCAGTTTTACCCAGAATGGGCAGTTGGGGGGAGTGTGGGGGGGTGCATCTCTGCACGTGCACAGAGGCCTGAGCACCTGTTGGTACATGTGTGCCCGAGTGTGAGTGGGGATTTTGTAAATACAGGATGTCACCTGTGCATGTGTGCCTCTGTCCATGTGGTCTGCTGGCTTCAGCTGTCCCTGTGCAGGCCCAGCAGTCAGGTCTGCCCTGGTCTGGGAGGGCAGAGCGCCCTCTACTGGGTTTCTGTGGGGGTGGGGAGGGGAGTCTGTGGGCAGCGACCTTGGGAGCGGGGGAGGGGTGGACCGGCTGGCGGCTTTGGGCAGGATTAGCCTGTCAGGATGGCACCAAGGGGAATCAGATAATTGTTCTCAGATCGATAAGTCATTTCTACAGAATGGCTTGGCAGGGTGATTTGGAGAACGGTAATGAACTCTGAGGAGGAGAAAGAAACAATATTATCAGCACTGAAGCCACCCCGAGGAGGATGGAATAGGGGAAGGCAGTCAGCTGCTTCCCAGGGAGAAGCTTAAGTGGTTCCTCTTGTTGCTCCTCTCCCCTCTTCTCCCACCGTGTGGGGACTGGGAGGCCCTGTGTGGCACCGGAGGGCTGAGCCCCACCTTCACCTCCACCCCTGCCCCTCCTGGGGGATGGACCCAGAATTCCATCCCTAGAGCCAGTCAGGCCCATGAGCATGTCCAGGAAATGGGGGTGGGGTACTGGCTATTCTATAGGGCTCTACTTCTAGGTTCCTCAGTGGCTGTGACTGGTATGTTCCCCACAGCCCAGTTTGAAGGATCTGAGAAGAGCTGCCTGTCACCCGGCCTGGAGGAGAAGGGGCGTCTACCTCCCCGACTCTCTGCAGGGAACCCCAAGTCAGCCAAGCCCCTAAGCATGGAGCCCAGCAGCCCCCTGGGGGAGTGGACAGACCCAGCACTGCCTCTGGAAAACCAGGTGTGAGTGTCTGTGTCCAGCTGGGGACTCTCCCCTCTCCCTTCCCTTCCTAGCACTTGCCTGAGGGGACACCCCAAATGGGTGGGCCTGGTCAGCGAGGCACCCAGCAGAGATGCTCCCCTTCCTCTCTCTCATCCGCAGCTGGTACCATGGGGCCATCAGTCGAACAGATGCCGAGAACCTGCTCCGGCTGTGCAAAGAGGCCAGCTACCTGGTGCGCAACAGTGAGACCAGCAAGAATGACTTCTCCCTGTCCCTCAAGTGAGTGGGGCTGGCTGGCTGGCAGTTTTAGACAGGATTAGCCTGTGAGGGTGGCACCAAGGATAATCAGTGGGAGGACAACCGCCAGTTCAGGAGGAGACCCTAATATTCTCAGGCCCAGCCAAGCTGGGGAGAATCCCATCCCCCATGAACCTTTGCCAACTCTGGGCCACACCCTAAGGGTCTGAGCTCAGCCCCTGCTCTCAAGGAGCTCATAGTTTCTTGGGGGAAATAGTTAAGCTGTTGTCCAGTTCAGAAGGGTTCTGTCCCTTACTAGCTATGTGGCCTTCGGTCCCCTTAATCTCTCTGGGCCTCAGTTTCCTTAACTTACAAAGTGAGGGAATAATATCTACTTTATAGGGATGATTAAATGTGTGGGAAGCACTTGCCGTGGTGCTAAGTGCCCAATAAATGATCACCATCATCATCATTAATGGCAGTCGGAAATGTTCTAAAAGCACAGGCAAGGAGATAGGAACTTTGCCTGAAAGGATCTACAGGGTGAGATGGAGGCTGGGTCCTGGGAGGAGGACAGGGCTGTGGACACTCTGAAGAAGCAGACAGGAGGTCTGGTTGCTGGTGGCTGACAACTGAGCTTTAAAGATCCTGGAAGAGGTCAGGGAGGTCGGCCCTCCCTTCCCATCAGCCCTCCTCCCTGGGAGCAGATACACAGGCCAGGATTGGCTTCCCAGGCTCTCCTGGTGGGTTGGCAAGTCCTCTCCTTGGCACCCGAGCGTGCCCCCTGGTAGAGCCTGTACTCCACAGGACCGCCTGTCAGAGCGGTGTGTCCATTCACACACACACACACACCCCTCCCCCGCCACTACTGGAGCATCTATAGCACCTTCTACCACGTTTTCTGGGTGCAAGAGAATATAGATATACCTGTCTTCAAACAAATCCAATATATGGAAATTTGGGACTACTAAACAGATACATTTGAAGATAATTATTCAACTTCACTAAAAGATAATAAAGAAGAAAAAAAGCCAGACTATAGTCATAACCTGAATTTTATTCTTGGGTTTAATAAAATTAGCTATGTGACCCGAGGCATCCTTAACCCCTCTGGGCCTTGGTTTCTCCATTTGCAAGATGGAGAATGGTTACTTCTTAGGTTTCTTCCAGCTCTCATACTCTGGGAGTCTGCAAATTATCATAAAATCAAAGGAGCATTTGGGAAAAATTTGTCAAAAATGTGATTTACATAACTTCCGGAATGTGTATTGCTTTAAAGATTATAGTTAAGATTCATAGAGCATATACTATATGCCAAATAGCAGCATATACACCATCTCTTAAACCAACTAGCATCCTGCAAAACCAATCTCTTTTTATAAACAAAAATAGATTCAAAGAGGTATGACTTGCTCAAGGCCACCAGCTAATAAAGTTCTAAGAGCAGAATTAAAAAAAAAATTTTTTATTGATGTGAGAGAGTGAGGGAGAGGGGGACAGAGATAGAAACATCAATGATGAGAGAGAATCATTGATTGGCTGCCTCCTGTGCGCCCCCGTACTGGGGATCGAGCCTGCAACCCAGGAATCGAACCGGGGACGCTTCAATCCACAGGCCAATGCTCTATCCACTGAGCCAGACTGGTTAGGGCCATGAGCAGGATTTGAATCCAGCTCAGTCTGACTCTAATAACTACACTGTTCCTCCATTGCACAACTCCACCCCTCAAGTCTGGAACAGTCTAAGGCAAGTGGAGACTGCAGGGGTCTGGCTCCCTAGCAGAGCACGGCAGAACACAGCCCTGCCTTAGCCTGGGGTGCAAAGGGGGAGGCACGTCTGGACGCCTGGCTCCAGCCCTGGCTGATCTGGCCCCGCCAGCAACTGTCTGCCAGAGCCTCGTTCACATATAAATGGCTTTTCTGAAACACAATTATGGTTTCTCTTCTCTCTGTAATGGAAGGGCTTTCATTGGTAATTAAACAGCTTCCTCCACAAGTCAAGCCAGCCCTGGCTCTGCTTCCCAGCTAGTCCCTCCCCGGCCCCCGGAGGGTCTGGCACGGGTTCTGCTGTGTCCTAATGGACCCTTGGGACTTTGTCCCAGGAGGTCAGTTATCCAGATGGAAGCTGAGCTCTCAGCTTCCAGCTCTGGTCTCTGGCTACTTGTTGCCCTGTTTGCCCAGATCTGTCCCTCAAAGAGAAGATACAACGCACAGGTGTTAGGAGAGGTGATGTTCCCAAGTGGACTGTGGGAAGGGAGCCATCCCCAAACTGCGAGAGGGTGAGGGAAGGCAGGGTCCACGCTGCTGCCCACAGCCTTGGGCCCGGGCCTAGGCATAGGACAGACAGGGGAGGGGATCACTTACTGCCTCCCCTTTCTACAGTCCCCAGGGGCTGTGCATTTTCCTGAGGCCCTTGGCTCCTTTCCCAGGGCCTGTGTGGTCACCATCAGCCTCAGCAGTTATCTCAGACCAACAGATGAAGGATGGCCCCACGCCCTGACACCCACACCCACAACTGGGGCTTCCAGCAGGCTTTGGGGCACTGTACCCTGGGGAGGGAAGGATGGAGTTAAGGGCCTGTGTTTTCCTCCCATCCCTTTACTCTCCCCGCTTTCTAACTGCTGGGCCTAGTGAAATGGGTCCAGAGGCCTCTTTTAACCCAGGCAGGGGAGGCAAGCGAGGAGGTATTCTAGCTTCGCCTCTCAAGAGCAAGGGCCTCACCAGGAGTCCTGCCTCCCACACCTGCTTCTGAGCCCTGTCCTTGTCCCCAGGTAGGCTCTGACCAGCAGGGCTCCCCTAAGCAGTGCTGACCACTTGCCAGTGAGTGGGTTTCAGACCTGGGTCCTGGGCTGTAGTAGTTTGGACAAATGTTCTTGCTGGGGCCCCACCCCCACTCTAAGGCTGAGGGTGCCCAGACATCTGGGAGACTGCCAGAGCTGGGGGGAGGGGAAGGGCGAGGGATAAGGGGTGTGGGGGAGAGACAGGGTCCTTGTCTGTGGTCAGGGCCAGGCACTACTGCTGACTTCCTTTCCTAGATTGTGCCGGGAGATGGGAGAGGCAGTGGAGCATGTCCTCTCTGAGGAGGGCATGGAGCAGCAGCCTCACCCATGACGTCAGCCCAGGCTGAAGGGCTGGATGGATGGGCTGGGTGCTTGGCTCAAGGCCAGTTAGCAGGAGGGTGAAGGGATGTCCCTAGGACAAGGTGGCTGGCTCTCCCCAGATTTGGGGAGCAGCTCACCTCCTCCCCTAGTATCTGCAAGAGAGAGCCCGAACCAAGATTCTCTTGGTTGTCACATCCACCCACCACCACTGCCCTGCCAAGGGTGTCTGTGTCTCCACAGGAGTGACCAAGAGCCTCACTGGTGTCCTCCCGCACAGCTCAGAAAGGGGGATGGGTGAACTGGTCCTGGCCACATAGGCTGGAAGGCAGGAGTGCCCGGATACCAGGGTTTGGGGTGGGGGCGAGGGGTGTTGGTCCCTCCAGTTTCCACCTGTACACACCCTGTACACTCACTACAAGCACATTCCTGGCACACCCTGTGCCCTCACCACAAAGCCAATACCTGCTGCTACCTACTCACAAAATCCCCTCCGCCCCCTCCCTGCTTTCTGGACTGACCTCCATCTTCCACAGCCACCTCCACTCTCTGCTGGTTTGGAACAAGACCTTGGCTGCAGGGCTGGGGGAGGGAGGGGCCTGGAAGGGGCCCCCACTCACCAGGGTCTCCTCTCCTCTTCCCAGGAGCAGCCAGGGCTTCATGCATATGAAGCTGTCTCGGACCAAGGAACACAAGTACGTGCTGGGCCAGAACAGCCCGCCCTTCAGCAGCGTCCCCGAGATCGTGCACCACTACGCCAGCCGCAAGCTGCCCATTAAGGGGGCCGAGCACATGTCCCTGCTCTACCCCGTGGCCATCCGGACTCTGTAGGGGTGAGGCCTGGGCACTGCGGCAGATCTGGACCCAGTCCTGTGCCCGCCCCCTGGCTGAGGGCTGTGGTCCTTCCCAGGGCCGTGCTCTCCCAAGCCTTTCTTCCCCTCTCCCTGGGATGGAGTGGAAACTGGAGATTCCTTAATTTATTCTAAAGAGTAAGGGCTATGGGGCCTTGGAGGAAGCGGAGGTCTGGAGCTGAGGAGAGAAGAACCCCTGGGGGGAAAGGGCAGCCCCTGGAGGAAGGGGGCTTCCAAACCGCGAGTCTCCCGAAGAGTTTAAGATCCGCAGCTGCAGGCCCCGCCTCTGGGGCAGAGGTGGCAACCTACTTCCCCTCCGCCCTCTCCCCCGGGTCAGTACGAGGCGGAGCAGGATGCAGGCTCGCAGGGCACCCTGCCCTCTTCCCCTCCACCCCCAAACGATCGGCAGACCCCTGGGGTGGAGATGGCATTGGGGCGGGAGAGGCGGGAAAGGGATCGGGACGGAGGGAATTCGTGCGGTCCCCGGCCGTTCCGGCTCCCGGCCAGAGGCAATAAATAAACCCAGTGCTGCCAGGCACGGCCGCGTCTGCGCCTTCAGCGCCGCACCCTGGGCTGACGGGTGGGGAGCGGCGAAGCGAGCACAGATCCGTTTATAAATCAGCTCTGGAGCAGACACAGGCCGTCTGTGAAAAGCGCTTTCGAAGCATCAAGTTCCTTCCTTTGACGAGATATCAAAACATCCCCCACTGCCCCCGCCCCGGCTGGGGGGGGTGGGTGCGGGGGCCGGAGCCGGCCGGCCTCGTGGCGCCCCCTCCCCGCCGCGCCGAGGAGCCCGGCTTCCCAGGAGCGCGTCCAATTTCCTGCCTCCAGCCACTTGTCTGGAGGAGGGGAGCCGCGGAGAGACAAAGAGGCAGCGCGCCAGGCGGGAGGAGCGGGTGGCCCTGCCACGCGGAAGCCGCGCGCCGCGAGCTGGGAAAGCTGGCGCAGCCTACTGCGTTTCCTTTCCAGAGGAAGCGGGCCCTGCCGCCGCCTCCTCCGTTCACTGAAGGATGGGTTCGCCCCGACCTGCAGCCTGCGGGCCTCGGTCCGGATCTGCCTCCCGCTGCTGCTCGGATCTGCCTCCCGCTGCTGCTCGCGGCCGAGGCCGGCGGGGGGGGCCGTCCGCGCGCGCCCTCTGCTGGCCGTGCCCTTAACTGCGGGACCCGGGCGCGGGATCACACCCGCCGGTGGCCCCCAATGCGCCCTCCTGGGTATACCCTTGGGCCGCCAGGCATGGCTGCTGTCAAGCCACTCCAGGCCTGCCCTCCTGCTCCCCTGGGCGAGCGGAACAAAAACTCTACTAGGGCCTGAACACACACCCTGGGGATGGCTGCCTTGGGGGGACGGTCTGAAGACCTCCAGAACCTAGATCTGCAGTTCTGAAGTGTGATGTGAATCATGAGATTTTGGATGTTCTAATCCAGTGGTTAATTTATCAGAGATCGGGACGGAGGCTATGTGATCTGACAAATGTAAGAATTCCGTGGAGACAATAGAATCACTTGAAATTGGGCACTGCTTCAGAAATTCCCTCAGAGAGGGTTGCCCTCTCTTTAAGTAGACTTGAAGGGCATTCAGTCATTTTGTAGATGCAAAAACAGCTCCAAAAAGGTTAGGTGATGTGCTCATCTATCTCCTCGCTGTCATCTCACTACATGGAGCTCAGAGAAGGACTGGGAGTAACAGGTCCTGCAGCAGGCCAGGCCAACTCTGCCTCCCTGTTGGCTCCTGGGTGTCTCGGCCCCCATCCCACACCCCTTGTGCCCAGTCCACCTTCTCCAAAACCCCTCACACCTCGCCCCCTCCTGACCAGGCTTCAGAAGACTCACACTCGCCACTCAGAGAGGCCCTCTGTCAGGAAGGGTGCCCTAGGCAGGGGAAGGGGTCTCTAGCTGGGGTGCTTGGCCTGGACGGGTTCCTTTATTCAGAGGATACTAGCAAGCTCAGGGAATGTCTGCATTGGCCTGTTAGCCGGCCGGTTGAGTGGCTTCTTCTGCCAGTGCTTACCCCATCCTGGGGCAGAATAAAGCAACCCAGGGGGCAGAAAAGTGGTTTATTTGTAGAGGAAGCTATGGAACAAGAAGAGCAGAGATCGTCTGAAGAGCACTACATAGAGAGAGAGAGATATTGAGCCAGGTTCTGACTACAGAACCTGTTTAAGAACTTGGGAGAGAAGATCAATTGTGCTGTTAAACTGAGGTGCTGAGAGATTTCCTATAAATTTCTCTCTGGGGTCCAGCCTCTGTCCCCTTGAAGGCATTTGCCAGCCCTTTTGACAGTGGAAAGCCCAGAAGAAGGGGAGGACTTAGGGGAGGAGTTCTAAGATGCCAGCATCTGTGCTCCCACTTCATCCTTAGGCTCACAGCCCCCTATACACACACACACACACACACACAACTTACCACTTGTCAGCCCCAGTCTTTTGAAATTTTTCTTAGTTTGGAAGAAGAGGTGTCATTTTGCCCCAAAACAATAACCTCTAGTCCCCGGACGGTGCCTCCCACTTCTCCAGGCTGAGACTATGAGTCTGGGGTCCCTGAACCCACATGCGGTGACTGACCATGGCCACCCCGACCAAGGTTGGTAGGTGGGAGTGGGGAGAAGGTGAGGGAACCAGAAACAGGAAGTACAGAGGTGAGGCGAGGTGTGACCCAAACCTCTGCTCAGCAGGCAGTGGGTGGAGCCCCTGGGCAGGAGGCCTAGAAGTTCTCGTAATGGTGGGAGAAATGAGTCCGGTCCTGCCTGTTAATGAGCTGACAGGCTTTTTCCACATTCTTGGTCATGCCAGGGGGGCCACAGCTAAACACCCCAATCTTCCGGACCTGTTGGGGAAGGAAGAAGTGAAGGCTCGCTCAGTGTTCGGAGGGAGGGCTAGCTCAGGGTCCATGTTAAAGCCATGAAGAGTCCCTGACGAGGGCTCATTCCACGTTCCTGTGAAAGTTTGCTTCTACCATGCCTGGTGAGGGCCAGCTTGGTGTTTTTAAATCTAACTTGATTTTAGTAGACCTTCTCTCTGTGGGTCCAGCCTCTACCCCTCCCAAGCATTTGCCAGCTTCAAGTGCAAGCTTCAAGAGCAGTTTCCGATATGGGGCTGGGTTAATCAATGTTCAAGTTGAAGGATAGCTTCGTGTCTCATTAAGGGCTCACCCAGTGCTTATGAGAGCAGTGGCTTGCTCAGTGTTCATGGTGAAGATTAGCTCAGTGTCCAGGATGAGGCCTGGCTCAGCATTAGTGTGAAGGGTAGCTCTGAGTTTATGGTGAGGACTAGCTCAATCATTGAGCTCTTCCTTCTGAACAAGGCATCATGGCTTCAGAAGTGGCAAGACCCTGTTGCCTGCCTCCCCACTTCCCCCTCAGGGTGACCCCCTCTTCTCCTTTCCCATTTCGTTACTCCACCAACTTCCCAGGGGGTGATGGGTTCTCATCGGCAGTCAATATCTTCCCTGATGGAGCAGGTTTGGGAGCTTTGCTCAACCCCCCAGAGGATAAACTGAAGAGACCCTGGATGGGGGGCGGGGGAACTGACCTGTGGGTGAACCTCCTGCAGGGAGTTGAAGAAGGGCTCAAAGGGGGGGCGACCAAAGTGGGTGACAGAGCGCAGGCCCGTGAAGAGACTCCGGTTCAGCACCTTCTGGAAGTGCCGCTCACAGATGTACTGGGGGCACAGGGGCAGGTCAAGACAAGGACAATCAGGGTCAGTGCCTGGCCCAAGCCAACCCAAAGCCTGGGTTGGGGAGGGAGCTGGAGGCTGAGTATCGGAGCCACTGCTCTGTGCCTCCTGCCAACTGAGCCTGGCTGTCCACCCACCTTCCCTGGCCATCCTCCTTACCCTGCTAAGCCACGCAGCCACTGAGCTACCCTGCCCGGCCGGCCCTGACGTACCAGCATGGTGGTCCTGAGGTCGAACTTCTCAGCCAGCTGGGTGATGTAGATGTGCACGGACACCAGGTCCTGGTGGTCATTCTCCTCCACCTCCCGGATGATGTCAGCCAGCCACTCGAACTGCCGCTGGGTCCGTGTCACCCAGATGAAGTAGATCTGGGGACAGGGCTGGAGCTTAGGGCCCAGCTCAGCTCAGGCTCCTTATACCCCGGGGATGTGCACACCAATAGAACTCTTCTGGCCAGTGTGTGCCCCTCTCCAGATATCCTGCGGAATGGAGTGTAGGGGGCCACAGGGCCAGGCTCTGGAGCAGGACATGGAGTTGCCCCAGGGCATGGAGAGGTGCAAGTAAGTGACAGCCTGGGGCACCTGACGGTCGGAGCCTATCCTGCCACTCTCTCCAATGTGCCCTCCTTAGGCTCTCAACTGACCAAAGCCCAGAAGGAGAGGGTACCACTAAAGGGCTTGTCACAGAACATCTTCAGGGAAGACCCAGCTGGCTGTCTGGAGGGGAAGGCAATGGACTCAGAGACCAGGGGGATGGAAACTTCCCTAGGGGAACCCATCTCCAGCTTCTGATGGGGGAAAGTGGGGCTGTTTGGGTTAAGAATCAGAGGCAGCCTGGCCAGTGTGGCTCAGTGGTTGAGTGTCGACCTATGAACCAGGAGGTCACGGTTCAATTCCCAGTCAGGGCACATGCCCGGGTTGCAGGCTCGATCTCCAGTGGGGGGTGTGCAGGAGGCAGCCAATCATGATTCTCTCTTATCATTGATATTTCTATCTCTCCCTTCCTCTCTGAAATCAATTATATATATATAAATTTTTTTTTTCCCAAAAAGGAAGCACAGGCAGAGCTGGCTTGGACAGAGGAGCAGAGAACTGTCTGTCACCTCTGAATGCTGACAGCATATGGGCTGGGCCTCTGCCTGCTGCATTCCTGCACTCCTGACTCACCTGCCAGGTCTAGAGAGACAAGCAGGGGCCTGCCACAAGGTGCAGGCTGGGGTGAAGGGGCCTGGCATGGAGGGGTCCTGAGGGCCTGGGCTGTGTTCCTGGAGCCAGCCGTGCCCATCAGCCCTGCCTGCCACCTCCTGTTCTCTTACTCTTGAGAGCAAAGCCAGTTTCACCTGTGCCCCACCCCAAGCATGCCCTTCCTTCTCCCAGGCCGACAATGCCTCCAGTGCTAGCCTTCCCTGTAGGAGGGGAGCTTCTTCACCTTTCTCCGGCCTGCCTGGAGGGATTCCCTATGTGGGGTGCTTCATAACTGAGGGAAGGAGCTCAGGGGCATCAACAAACTAACTCTGTCCTTTAGGATCTGGGGATATCCTGCCCACCCAGGGCCAGGCCAGCTTGGCCTTGCCTAGACTAGGGAGACCAAGAACAGAGGCGGGAGAGCCAGCACAGATGGACACAGTGATCAGGAGCAAGGGACATGGGCTGGGGGGCACTTACCTTCTTACAGAATACTTGGTAGCTGACTGACGACTTGAAGACCAGGTCTTTGAGGATAGAGGCAAAGGGGGTGACCCCAATGCCCCCTCCTACCAGCACCGACACCTCAAACTTATGCACTCCTGGTGGCCCTCTCCAAATGGCCCATCGAGGTACAACTGCAGGGGAGGAGAGTGGGGTGTGAGTTAAGCTCTCAGCTACCACCACAGTTCTGAAGCCAGAAATGAGAGGCAAGAAAAAGCAGGTAGGTTAATGGCCGTGAGGGGGGGAGGGGGACTGTGGCTTTATCTGGGACAAGCCAGTCTCTGGATGGCAGAGGGAGGAGCACAGTGGGCGTCTGGTGCTGCAGAGGCGAGGCCTACTAAGGGGCTGTGGGAGCATGTGGCACATCTGGCCTGGGTCTGGGCCCTTCGGGTATCTGGCACAGCCGTTGGTCGGGGGTGAGTAGATCTCCCTGAGGCGAGTGGTCCAGGGCCCTGCCGCCCGGATGTGCAGGCTGAGCGTGTCCTCATGGGGCGCAGAGGTCAGTGTGAAGGGGTGGTACTCGGTGGTCCCCAGAGCCAGGCAGGCGATCCGCACCCACTGTCCTGACTTGTACTCAAAGCCTTGGGGCCGCTGGAACTGCAGGTGGGTCACCCCTGAGGAGGGGAGGTGGGCGGGAGGCTGCTGTCCTGAACCCAGCAACAAAGTGGTCTCCAGAGAGTTCCCCCACCGCAGCCTCAGCTCTGCTCTGGAATATGCCAGGGGACCTCCCCCCATCAGACCTCATTACTCCCCTCAGGCCCTGTCTGCCCTGAGGAGGGGCTGGTGGTCAGCAGGGCAAGGAACAGCCTGGCCTGGGCTTCTCCTCTCTGTTGTGAAAGAGGCTCAGGGCCCCTGGCAAAGAGCTTCTTTTACCAGCTCCCTCCTCCCTTCCACCCCAAGGCCCCTGCCAACGCCACGGGGCCAGGCTAGGAGACTGTAAGGTCCAGGCTCTGCTCTGCTTCCCCAGTCCCACCAAGCTGGGCCCCTCACAGCCTCTCGGCTGGTACCTGAAGGCAGCAGCTCGGCCTTCACCACGCTGATCTCCACCTTCTTCCGGCTCAGGCTCACCAGCTTGTCCCCCCCGTAGATTAGTGCCGGGACCAGGAAGAAGATGTGGAAACGGGGCAGCTGGATCAGAGCGAAGCTGCCGTGGATGATGAGCTGAATAGAGTGAAGGATACCGCTCAGACCCGGCCACACCCACAACGGTTCTGCGGCCGGCTCGGGGCTTAGACCCCTGTATCATTCCTCACTGGCATGTCCACACCTCACCTCACCGTGTGCCATGCTCCTTCCAGGTTCCAAAACCGAACTGTTCCCAACCCCATCCTCCGAAGCATCCTTGACGAATAAGACTATTTGCATCTCTCCAACACCATCCTCGACCAAGCCATGTCAACTCTCCCCTGCACTCATGCAGTAGCCTCCTAACTGGTTTTCCACTGGGTTTCCCCATGTGATGGGTTCTCTCCAAGGCAGCCAGTGTGACTTTTTAAACTTCATTTTATCATGTCACCCCCAGCTTTAAAAGCCTTAGCGGCCTTCCCATTGCACCACAAGGCCTGGTGACACTCTGATCCCTGCCTGCCAAACATGGCAAGTCCTTTCTGCTTCACGACCTCTGCACCTGCTGTTCCCTCTGCCAGGAATGCCCTTCCCCTGGCTCTTCCTGGATTATCTCCATCTCATGCTTCAGGTCTCAGCAGAAACACCGCCTCCCTGGGCTTTCCCCCAGTCCTCTCTCTCACAGCTCCCTGCTAACTGCCTTCAAAGCACTTGTCAGCCACAGTAATTGTGATTCTCTATTCATTGACCCGTTTGCTGTTGCTTTCCCCAGTGGACTGCTGGGGTAGGTCCTGCTTCCATTTTGTTTGCCACTATTCTCTCAGCTCCTAGCGGTTTCTGCCTGGCACATGGTAGGCACTCAATGAAAGAAGTTCCCCCAATGTATCTTCTGCCTTTGGAGTCTAAGAACACATAACCAGTCTCCGTTTTCCATGAAATAACTGACAGGCATTGTCCAGCTCTAGTCCTTTCCTCCATAAGCTGGTCAGACACTCCTTGCCCCGTTCCTCCCACTTGCTTGCTCCTAAGTCTGGTCAGTCTGGCTTCCCCCTCAAGCTCTTCTCAGGATCTTCTCACTGAGGGCTCACGAATGGCCAAACCCCAAGGTGTCCTTTCAGACCACTTTTGCTCCCTGCCTTGGCACCTGTGGCCCAGTGCCCCCCTCTCCGCCCCCCGCCACCTTGACACTCCCACAACAATACAATGCTCTCCTGGGTCTCCCTCCTCTCAGGCCACTCACTCTCCACCTCCTGCACTGACTGTTCCTTCTCCACCCCAACCCTTGTGTTGCCCAAGCCCAATTTCCTCACCCTCTGCTTGTCTTTCTATGCTCTCCCACGTAGCATGGCTCTCAGCTGAACCACAGCCTCTCAGCTTCAGTGCAATTCACACAGGTCCACCGTGTCCTGCCACCACCTAACGCCCTTGGCCAGCCAGCACTGTCTCCTCGGTGCCCTGAATATTCTGTCATCATTCACACCTCCACACCTGTGCTCATGCCCTCCCTTCTACCTGAAATGCTCTTCAGCTTCCCCTCTGCCCTGTCAAACCCTAGCTTATCTGTCCGTAAGGCTTGGCCCAAGTCCCATCTTCTCCCTGAAGTCTTCCCTAACCAGTTTGGCCCAAATGAAACTCCCTTCAATGAGCTCCTGTAACTTACTTTTCAGAACACTCAGCTCAGCAATTAATCCTGTATTGTCTGCTCATGTCCATCATTTCACAGGCATGGCGTTTACCTCTGCCGCACATCCTAAATTCCTGAGGGCAGAGCATCCAGTCTCCCCTTCCCCGAAGGGCTTAGCACAGAGCTAGGACCTAACAGACTCTCAGCACAACTGTTAAACTCTGCTTCCTCATTCACCTCTCCCTTCCCCCAGCTGAGGGTCCCAGAACTCTTGAGCCTTTCCCCACAGGATTCACTTGAGCCTCTCGGAACGGAGCTCTCCTCTGAACTGGCTCCAGTTCCCCCAGTTCCTCGTTCATTGTGGAGCCCATGCCCACCCCCAAGGCTTTCTGAGCATCCAACCAGGCTGAGAACAATGCCAGGGTGACCTCATGCTATACACCCTGTTTGGTGTTGGCTCTACTTTTTAACCACAATCTGCCCTCTGGCTGAGGAGCTGGGGAAGCAGCTGCCAGCTCAGCTTTGGCTGTGCTAGCCCTGCCTCTCCAGCCTTCTCGGGGTCTACTCCACCCCACCCTGGGTCCTTTACTTGTAACTTCTCTTTCTGCCTGAGGTCAAGTGGCCACACCTGTGATGAATGGGAAGGAAGCGGATGTTTTGTCCCTGACCTACCCCCAGGGGAGAAGCTCCAAAGCTGCCAGGGCTAGGACTGCCCGGCAGAGGGGCCTACACCTTTCTGAGCTGCTGACTTCCCTGCTGGCAGGAAGGGGGGTTCTGAACTCCAGTGATTCTCCCCAACCAGCAATTAATCAGAAAGGGGTCTTGGTCTCAGGGAGCCAGTCTCCCATTAGTTCAAAGAAGCTCCTCTTTCACGAGGAATAAGAACATCACCTCCACCCTGCCAGAAACAGTAACTAGGGCTCCACCCATTACCGAGGAGGTGGCGAGGAAGGGATAAATTAGCTTGAGAGAGATTTCTTTGGAAATAAACATTAATTCCAGGGAACAACCTAAGCCGAGGAAGGGATAAATTAGCTTGAGAGAGATTTCTTTGGAAATAAACATCATTAATTCTAGGGAATAACCTAAGCCGAGGCTGGGTAGTCATCTTCAGAACTGTGGAGTACCAAGCCTTGGGCAAGATAGAAATAGACCCTCCTACCTATCAGTGAGGATGGAACAGCAGCTGGGAGGAGACCCCTGTGTGCAGTTCCGCCTGGAGCCAGTGATGGAGAAGGAAGTCATATGGACTATGCATTTCTTAAATGCTCCCAGCCAAACTGTCATTAGTGGGGACTTGGTTTAGCTCCTCAACAAGCAGGTCCTCAGGGTGCCCTTTTGGGAACTGCCTGTGTCCCTGAGGAAGGCAGGCCAAACAGAACCATGACACAGGCGCACAGATCAAAGTCAGCTCCGAAGCAGCCGACAAACCCAGGGAAGGAGGAAGGGAGCAGGACAGGAGAAAGGAGGGAATGTGAAGGAAGGCAGGCAGGGGCCCAGATTAAGGAGAAGGAAAGGGGAAAGGGGGCCTTAAAAATCCAGTTTATCAGCAGTCCAAGTGAAGACTTTTGGAGCAAAGTCATTAATTTTCTAGGTAGCACTTAGTTGGGTGGGGTGGCTAACATCTTAGAAAATGGGATCAGAACAAAAGCGGCAAAACCGAATTAAGATAAGTTTCTCTAAAAAAGGGCAATACTTCCTTGAGCGAAACAACCCACC